CACTGGACTCAGTGGCTACTGGTTTTGTCTCTTCACACACTGAATTCTGGGCAGCCGGGCTGAGGTGCAGCCAGGTTAGCCCTGTGGCCGGCGGAGCCCCTTGCGAAGCTGTGGACGTGCCTCTTTCTGATGTGGTTTAGCACGCCTGCCTGCTGAGAACTGGGACGTGTCTGGTAGTGTTGTGAGCAGTGGCTCAGGCACAGACTGACCCTGTTTTATATTTAAGGAAAACATAGCCAGAGCCTGGACCTGTGTAAAGAACCTTCTGTGTCGTTCTAACTTTGCTAAAAGATTTCAAATCCAGGGGATTCCATGCGCAATGGATGAATGTAGACACAAAACAGCAAGACTTGTATGAAGATGTAAAGTGCTGAAAATATTTTTTTCCTTTCCTTTTTTTTTTTTTTTTTTTTTTAAACCTGAGTTGTGCCCTGTACTGCAGTTAACTGTTTGAATAAAAGTTTTATTTATTGCATCCAGTTGGGTTGGGAGCCTCCTTCCAGTCTCCGGCACAGGTTGGGGCTGTGTGAACAGACCACACCTCCGTGCTCCCCAACCTATTGCCCATGATCAGTTTCTGCAGGGCCCTTGGGCTGTTTGCAGAGCACATGGGTTAAGCGTTGGCCTGACTTGGACTTGCAGGGAGTGTGGGTCCCACCTTGCTCGCTGATGGCACTTGGGGCTGTCCATACCCCCAATGAGAGAGCAGAACCTTGTGGGGCCTGATGCAGAGCCAGAGGGAGCAGAGATACCGTGCTCTGGGTCCCCAGTAGGCAGCCTGCGCTGACCCCATTGACCCGTCCTCCCTGCAGAGTCCTCACACTCCCTCTCCCTAACCCCTAGCTCCACCAATGTGTGTGTTTCCTTGCAGTGCCAGTGTGGAAGTGGCCAGATTTTGAGCCGCCCTGACTAGTTAGTAAGTTGCCCTGGTCTTCTTGTGCCCGTTCGCATCTGCAGTGGCTCTGGACAAAACCCTGGCCTGGTTCTGGTCCTTGCTTTGGGCCTTTTTCCTTAAAGTAGCGGTTCCCTCCTTGGGTTAATGGGTCTCCTCCTTTCGGCCTAGAGCCTGTGGTTCTGCCTGTCTGCCCCATCACTGCCCTTGCTGCTGCTGCTGGGTATGGGGGTTGGCCTGGTATCTGCCTGTCTTCTCCTACCCTCACTGCTTCAGCTACAGTCAAAGGGTGACCCTGGCAAACATCTGGGGACAGGTCTCTCTCCTGACCCTGCAGCACCAGTGTGGGTGGTCCTCTGGGTATGTGGTGGTCTAAGCCCAGTCTGGTGAGTATCATAGCTTGGGGGAGAGGGCTGGGCTCAGAGTTAGGGTCTCAGGGGTCGTTGATCAGGCCCCACCCATTACCTTCTGATCTTACCTTGCCTGGGTCCCTTCATGTTTCCCATGGCCCTGAGACACTGTCTCAGCTGCCCAGGAGTACCCTATTGCTACACATAAGGCCCTTGCTGGCCGCCTCCAGTGTCTTCTGTGATGACAACTATAACTGTCCCTTCCCTCAGTGCTGGGGAAGGGAAGGGCAAGCACCTCATGCCCCTCATGCCCCCATCCTCAGGCCAAGCAGGCATTGCTGTGCATCTGTCCTGCTAGGTGTGGGGGGTGGGGCGCTTTCCACTGTCTGCCAACACCTCGAGGGCGGCCTGGGAAGCTAGGACCTGCATCCCTGACCAAGGACCATGGTCACCATGTCTGTGCAGGCAGGCCAACTACTCAGGCAGATCCTGGACCCTTGCTTCTCTGTCCCTGACTTTTTGTGGGAGCTACAGCATGGTACTGTAGGAAAATGCTCCTGCAGTTTGAGGATGGGATGTAAATGCCCTTGACTGTCGAAAGTCCGACTCTTCCAGGCTTTGGGTCAGTGTTCCCCCGTGGATTGCTGCCCACAGGACTGAGATCTTCTTCCCTAGTCTTTCTTGGCTCTGAGCAGGCACAGGATCACCTGAGTTGCTTCTGCCATGGCAGCATCCCCAACCTACCCCTAAGTCACATCTGGCCCCAAAGCCCTGCTCCATGTCGCCGTCACTCCTGTGTCCCAAGGCAGGCTTTCCCAGCCTTTCCAACTGTCCTGGCTCAGAGCATGCTGTTTCTGGTCCACCCACTCTTGGACGCTTCTTGGTGACATTCCTTTGCTAGGCACAGCGCGTGCTGGTCCTGTCCCTTGGAGGTTTGTTGTTGCTCATCTGCTGGACGGTGTGTTCAGAAGGAAACATCCTCCAGAGGGGACAGATGTGCCTGGCAGGCACACACATAGAGGTTTTGAAGTGACTTCAGGCTCCAAATCTGGTCTTTCTGCCATCTCAGTGTTGGGCCCTAACCTCTTCAGGGTCACACAGGTGAGCTTTGAGGAGTCGCTCACAGGCACCTGCTCTCAGACTGTTCCAGGAGTGGTGGCTGCACAGCCCCTCCTGTGGGTGTGGCTGCAGTCTCAGGGAGCCTTGCCCTGTGTCTGCCTGTGTGCATGGTAGAGATCTTGCTACCTCCCAGCTCATCGGACTGGCCCGAGCACATTTGGGATCCCAAGCCCCCATTGGTTGAAACTCACAGTGCTCTGAATGGCCCCACCATGTTGGGAGGTGGAGAAAAGAACATGTAGGTCAGAGAACAGAGGTCCTCTTGGAGTCCCTTGCAGGGACTTTGCAGGCTTGCACTTCTGTGCTGGTCCTGGCTGGCAGTGTGTGTCTTTCGGTGAGAGTTGGGGTGTGAGTCAAAGCTGAGGCAGAAGGTAGGTGCCTCCCACAGGACACTTGGCCATTCTGCCTTGGGCAGTGGTCAAATTGGCCTCCCACTCTGGTACCTAGGCAGGTCTGTTCTTTGCTCTGCTGTCCCAAACCCTTCAGGGGAAGACCTGGCCCCCAAGACCTGCCTAAGCCTGGGCTTGAGAGCCTTCTAGGAGCCAGAGTGGGCAGGTCTGGGCCTTCACTGGGCCTGCATCTGGTAGGCCTTGCTGATGACAACGGGATCCTCACCTTTGAGCCCTAGGCAGTCCCTACCTAGCCAGCAGGTGAGGACCTGAAGCTTACCTGCACAGACCAGAGCCACAGAGAAGGTTGCAGACCCTGACGCTGCAGGTACAGTCAACAGTGGCCTTTAATCCTGGACTCTGTAGCCCAGACGTGGCCAGCCATGAAGCCACAAGATGTGCAGACAGCATTCTGGAGGGGGAAAACCGCATGGACCTGTCAGTCTACTCTGCACGTCTCATCCTTCTCAAACTTCACAGTCAAAGTGTTTCAGATTTTTAGAAAACACAAGGTCCTCAAAAACATGTGGTGATGCTCCTGCCCATGTGGGCCTTCTGGGGCATGCTGGATGGAACACCTGCTGCTGGCCCACCAGGCTCAAGGACCCAGCTGGGCCCAAGGTGACCCCTCTCCAGGTAACAGCTCCAGCGCCAAGCCTGCTTCCCCCTGAGTATGGTCCTGTGCCTCAAGCCCCAGTGTCCACGCACCATCTGTGCTGTCCCTCATGGAGCTGCCTGATGTCCCCACCTGCTGCCCTGCACTGTCCCCATGCCCAACAGGGACTTCAGGGAGAGAGGCTCCGTGAGGATGAGGCCAGTGCTGTCCCCATCTGTGCTCATCTTGTTCCATTTCCACTTCTTGTCTCTTGAGTCCTATCTGTGCATCAGCTGTGGCAGGGGAGGGTTTGGCTTTCCTGGGAGGAGGAGGAGGCGCTGTGTCCTCCACAGGGAAACTGCCTTGCGGTCAGCTCTCTGCAAGGGCTGCGGTGTTCACCCCCAGCCTGTGCGTGTGCCTTGTCTGTCGTGTCTGCGTGTCCTTGGCGTGCCTGGGCACCCTGCATGCCTGGGCTGGCTCTTACTGTCTGCTGAGCCGTGTCTTGTATTGTGAGAGGCCGTCAGCCCCTCTATTCTTAGGGCCTGCGCCTGGTGGGGGGGTGGTTCACCAAACTGCCGTGGACCCTCCTCAGGGCTATCGAAGCCCTGAGAAGGAAATGGTCCCCTTCCCGCAAGGACAGACATCTACCCTGAGCTGGGTGGGGTTCAGCTGGACCCCACCATCCCCAGTTGCCAGTGAGGGTGCCCTGCCTGCCCAGAGCATGTGGGGTAAGCAGAGGGTAGCTACACTGGGGGCCAGCAGGCCTTGCAGACAGCACCTGGCCCAACCCCAGCCCCAGCCCCAGCCCTGCCCCCTCGTCTCCTACTCTAGGCTGGGCTGTCGGAGTCCCCCCTGAGGATCCCAGGAAGCCTGAGTGGTACAGCCTGTCCATGGCACCTGTTCCAACCTGAAACTTTTTCTCTTCTCAGGAACCCTTTTGCCAACGTGCAGCTGAAGCCAACAGTGACTAACGACAGGTCTGCCCCCCTTCTCAGCTGATGGCCACATCTACATCACCAGCCTGTGGGCCCACCTGCGTAACTGATGTTGTTACCACCTGCGTGTTCCTGGTTAGAGGACGAACATCCAGACCCCACTTCCTGGCGTCACCCTATGCAAGTCAGCCTGCCCTGGGCTGGATCCCAGCTGCTCCGAGGAGGCTATCCAGGAACCTAAGGCCCACTGGCTGTACCACCCGGGCAGAGAGCCGGCTTCCTGAGGGCAGAGGCCCCTGGTCCTGGCCCGTGAGACCTTGGGCACAGGGAGGATGCTCCCTTCATCCAGTGCTTCTAGCTCCTGCGTGTCTGGTTAATAAACATTTGTGCAAAGCATGATCTGTGGCCTGAGAGGTGGGGAGTGCCTAAACCCTCATTGGAAGAGTACTTTTATCAACAGCACGTAATTTCCTGCAGCTCTGCTGCTATGCTGACGTCTGGGCCTGCCCCATGCTCTGCTGGGCTCCTGACACTCCCGCCTCTCTGCAGACACCATCTCTTCCCTGCCTGAGCCCCACTCCCACAGAACATTGCCACGGGGGCCTCCTGGTGTCCTTGCCACCAGAGCTGTGGCCAGTGGGGATCCTGCTCCTGAACTCTGCCCTGGCTCTTGGGCGCCTCCTCAGGCTGCTTCCTGCAGGGGCTGGGCCACTGCTCACATACAAGACTTTAAAATTTTTATTTACAAATCTCCTTTGTGCCGCCTTTGGATTCAATACCATGGGGTGACCTGAGCTGGTGACAGCAGTCCTTGTCTGGAGAGAAGTCTGGGAAAAACTCACTCAGAGACTCTACCCCAAGGGCTGTAGCCCAGAGCCTCCTGCCCACACCCTGCTCAGGAGGCTGAGGGCACAGAGCTTTGGTGGGCACACGGCTGGACACAGGGCCAGGACAGCAGGGAGCATAGATGACCCAATTCCTCAAGTCTCCTTCACCCATAGCTGGGCTGAAGGACAGGCGCTGGCCTCGGAGGACAGGCTTCCAGGGAGCTGCCTGTGAGGTACAAACTTAAATCCACCCTCTTCACCCTGCCCACGCACAGCAGTGGCAGGTCACCAGGGCAAGGTGAGCAGGACAGGAGGAAGAGCCAGTGTCCTTCCTGTCACCAGGCAGAGCTGCTAACTGGGTCTTACCCCATCCTTGATCCCCTCAGCACAGGGCTTCATACCGACCCCAAAAGAAAACATGCCAAGCACAAGAACTTTTGTTTCATAGCTTGGTTTCTCTTAAAAAACAAACAAAAATAATTGCACCAGCGTCCTAAGCCTCAAAAAACAAAACACAAACCAAAATCAACTACCCCCCACCCCCAGAGCAACAATAAACTTTACATCTCTTTGGCAACAATAACTTAGAATCACCCCATTTCTATTCATTCCAGCAATAGCTGTTACAAAAATAGTCCCTGTGCTACCCAGCCACCCAGCCCCACCCTTCCCTGTACCCCATCATCCCGAAGGCGGGAGCCCCAATGCTGACTGGGGTACAGCCCCTACTCTCCTTTGGTGCCAGGCACGGGATAGGGCACTGCCCTGCTGGGGACACCTCAAGAACAGGGCCAGGGTTGGGGGATGCAGCCTGGAAGCCCTCTGGGTGCCTGAGCTCATCAGATACCAGAACTCATCAGAACCCCAGCGGGAGCAGCCAGACCCTGTGCAGAGGAGCTTACGGGGGAGGCAGTGAAGGGAAGTCAGCCACAGACTCAGATGAGGGTGTGGGGACACTAGCCCAGGGGCCTGTCCTGGCACTGTGTAAACCCAGACCTAGAAGAGAGCGAGGGGCAGGTCTGATGGCCACCTTGGGGGCTGTGCCCTGTCCAGCCAACGGCGCAAGTGTCCCGTGAACAGATGGAGGGAGCCAGCCAGGCACGGCATGCAGGCCCATGGCCAAGGGCAGGTCTCCCAGCCTTGGTGGAGCAGTCCAAAGGCAGCAGCCAGAGTGGAAAGGCAGCTGCAGGGTTGGGGCCAGCCAGGCCCAGGGATGTAAGATGTAGGGGTCCTTTTAAGTGTTTATGTTTGTGTATCCAGATACCCATAGCCCTCAGGCCGGGCCATCCTGGGGGTGCTGGCAGCAAAACCTAGTGTCCAGGACACATTGTGTCCCCAGGGTGACACAGGCAGCGTGCACAGTCTACCGTCCAGGGCTGGAGAGGGGCCTCCCGTCCACCTGCTTCTCCAGGATGCCACGTGGGGCGCCGTGATCCTGGATCTGTTGCTGCTGAGACTGCTGTCCGCACTCATTCCTGGTCACCATTCTTGCTGCTGCCCAGGGCAGGACAGCAGAGGCTCCAGTGATGCCTGTCGCTGTAGGACAGAGTGCCTGGGCCTCAAGCTTCTGTGTACTCGCCTCCAGCGCTTGCTGCAGGGCCTGGCAAAGAGGGGGTGCAATGAGCATGTGGGGCCATTTCCCCTGCCCATGGTACCCACAGTTACCAGTTGGTAGGAGACAAGTTTGTCTTCCCACTGCTTCACCCTGACCAAGCCCTTGTATAGGTGGGAAAGCAGGCCTGAAGAGCAGGGGGCTGGTCAGGGTCATGCATTCATTTCCTGATAACTGGGCCTGTCTGTGCCAGGGTGAGACTGACAGGCCCTTCCCTCCAGGGTGTAGGCACAAGCCAAGGGCAGGTGGAGGACTAGGTCTACCTTGAGTGGGGTGAGAGGCAGGTAGGCTTCCTGGAGGAAGTGGGCTTTGAGGGCCACCTAGGAGGATCCTAAAGAATTTGTCAGGCCTGTGCATAGGGTGTAGGGAGAGCTCATACCTGGCAGACAGGAGCCAGGTGTGGGCTGGGACACACTTCTTCCAAGCAACGCCCCACTTGAGCACTAAAGGTCTTAGCTGCTGGCCAAACCTGTGCCCTGGGTAGGCAGCTTGCAGCGGCTTCTGGTACATGCACCCGCAGGAGACTGGAGGTGAGGGGTTCTGGGGATGAGGCTGGGCAGGATGGGGGACAGCCAGTGTGAGGCACAGGACGGTGGGGTTAGGGGACTGGACACTGCATCTGCCCTGAAGATGTGGGGCGGCCAGGCCACTGCTATCGGGACAAGGGCACACAAGCCAGAGCAAGAGTGTGGCTCTGGGCAAGGGACCTGATCTCGCCAGCCTGTTTCCCCATGCCCCTTGCGACGCCCCCTGCCGGTCCACTGTGCCTCACCTCCCACAGACTTGGCGTCTGCGTCCGACACGTGCGAGATGGAGAAGCGGGACTCGGGCGCGGGCAACACGGTGAAGCGCGAGATGGGCGCAGTTGTGGCCGGTGTGGGGGTCACGGCAGGGGCGGGTGCGGCCGGACCCAGGGTGGTCACCAAGGCCCCTTTAGGCGGCACCCCAAGGAAGTCGTTGTCCCACTCGAACCCGCCGCCTGAAACTGGACCAGGCGGCCAGGTCACTCAAATCCGCGGATGCCCCGCCCCGACATCACACTCCCACACGTCACAGCCCTGCCCCTGACATCCTGGTCTGCCCTACATCACAGCCCCTTCTCTGACGTCACGCCCCCAGCTCACCCTTTTCCATTGCAGAGTCTTCCGGAGAGCGGTCACTGCGCCTTGGCCAGCTGGGGGTGCTGGATGAGCCGGGGCTGCCCGGCAGGTACACTGGAGGCGCCTCCTTCACACCGGGGAAGGGCTCCCCGAGCTCCCGGGTGGGGCTCTCCTGCAGGGGTCAGAGCACACCTGACTTGGCCACCCGCATCACCGCCTCTCCACACCCCCATTCCGTGTGCACAGACACACACACCGCCAAGTGCTCCTGCGGGAGCAGCCCACCCACCTGGTCAAAGAGGTAGACGGTAACGTCATCGAAGAAGGACACAGCCTTCTTCTTGCGGTCCAGGTCCTCACAGAAGGTCTCGGACAGCAGACTGGGCATTTTGAGCAAGCTGCGCAGGTTGCGTGCGCTCTGGCTCTCGGCCACCACCACAGGCACCGCGGGAGACTCCTCCTCACTGTCCTCGCTAGGTTCCTGGATGCTGTAGCAGCGGAGTTCCTCATCCGACTCATCACTGTCCTCACTGTCGTCCTCTTCCTCTTCTGGCCGGCCCTCCAAGGCCCCAGGGCTCCCAGGCAGGGCCAGGCAGAGCGGAGCTCTGGGGGTGCCTGGATTCCCTGTCCACCCTGAGGACAGTCCTGGGGGCCCCTGGAGTTCTGTGCCATCACCTTCTGGGCTCCGCGGAACAGGAGTCAGCAGGAAGAACTTGGAGGAGCCGAGGCTGGGCATAGGCTGCTCCTCAGCTGAGCCTAAGGACGCAGGAGGCTCTGGCCTGGGGCTAGAGAGGCAGGCTCCTGGCTCTGGGGGAGACTCTTGGATCCCCAGCAGTGGTGGTAGCACCTCCCTGTGACCAGCACTGGGTGCCTCCCCCAGAGCCCCAAGCATAGGAGAGGTCTGCACAGACTGCAGGCCCGGGCTCTGCCCGGAGGATTGGACTGGGCTGCTCTTTTCAGGGCCCAAGGGGGGCTCAGACTCAGCGTCTAGGTCTGAGAAGTAGGCAGAGTCTCGGTAGGGGTTCTTCTCACTGAGGCCACCCAGGGAGGCTGAGGTCTGGGTCTCCGGCCCTGGGTCTGCTGCCAGCTCCCTGGCCTCATGGGCCTCCTTGAGCACAAACTCAGGAGACTCATTGTTCTCTGTGTCATAGCCACTGTCCAGGGCACGGGGCTGCCCACCAGGGGGGCCAGCAGCAGATGGGCTGGAGATGTCACAGCCACCATCGCTGGCTGAGGACGGGATGTCCAAGGAGTCCAGGGAGTCAGGTGTCCCCACCTGCTTTTGCAGAGAGCGTAAGGCTGGCACTACATCAGGCTTCTCAGCCTGGTGGCCATCGCTGGACACATCAGTGAAGACACCCGAAGTGGCCTCTGTTGTGTCTTCATCCTCACTGCTGGGCTCCTCCACCTCGCGAGAGCTGGTGCTGCTGCCGAGGGTCAGGACTAGCTCTGGGACTGTCACTTGGCTGCCAGCAGCAGATGTGGGGGAAGCTGGAAGGGTGTCAGGAGCACTGGCATCCTCAGAGGGAAGAGGAGCTCCCTCATGGGATGGGGATGGGACAGAAGGAAGGAACAGTTGGAGTCCAGCAGAGTCCTCAGCTTCCTGGGCAAGCCTGGGTTCTGCTTGGGGGTTGTCACCTCCACTCATGACTGCCCCAGTGCAGGGGGATATGACCTGGCAGGGAGCAGGTGCCAGGCCCTGGGCAGAGCCCAGATGAGGAAGGATGAGGCGGCGGCCTGAATCAGGGCTAAGGGAGACTGACTGTGGCCCAAGCAGAGGCTCTCTGGGGCCCTCCTGGGCCAGGGGGTGGCCCAACTGTGGGGAGGCCCGCAGGGTATGCACTGGGCTGAGGGAGTCATCCATGTAGCTGTCAGGGTAGCTGCCCACATAACCGAGGTCCCAGGACTCAGGGTCGCGGCTGGCACTGTTGTTGTTGGCTGACATGTTGGAGCTCCAGTGTCCACGCTGGGTTGCTCTCTGTGCCTCGGCCTCCCCCAGTTCCTCCTCACCCTCGGTCAGCAGAGCCCCTGAACACGAAGAAGGGGACGCACCCAGGGGCTCCTCAAAAAAGGGTGGGCAGAAAGCAGCCTCTCCCCAGTCTATGTCCTCCGCAGTCGGTGAGGGTGAGCGGGAGGGGCAGGGCGAGTCCCGGTCCCGGCTCCTGCGCAGGTGGTGGTCGCGACGGCCCCAGGGGCTGCCCACTGGCGCCGCATGGCCTAACAATGGCTCCATGGCCAGCGAGGCAGAGGCGCTGCCATCCGAGTTGTCGTCGTCTTGGTCGGCGGTGGCGGCGTGGGGGCTGGGGGCGCAACCAGCGCAGTCGGGGTCGTGGCCCGCGGTGGGTGCGGCCTCTTCCAGGCGGATGAAGTATTCACTGCCTAGCGAGGGGCTGTGCGCGCTGAGCACCGGCACCACGCCCAGCGGTGCGCTGTCGAGAGCGCACAGCTCCTGCAGGCGCGTGGTGTGGCCCGGGCTGGGCGGGAAGGCCTCTGCACCACGGCCTGCCTCCCACTTGTACTCGAAGTTGAGGCCTCGGCTTGTCTCGGTCACCGTCAGCACATCGTCCCCATCGCCGTGGAAGCCATCGCCCGTGAACTGCTCCAGCAGTGGGAAGGATGAGGCCGCAGCCAACTCAGCCGCCACGCCCAGCGTAGGACCTGCTGTGCCTTGCCCGGAGCCAGCGCTGCCCCCGCCTGGCCGCAAGGAGCGCCAGCGCCGCTCAAACTCCTCTTCCACCTCGGTGGCGCCCTTGGCGCACAAATAGGACAGCAGCAGGTGCACCTCTTCAGCCGTGGGCCGCTGCTCCGGCTGCAGCCAGCAGAACTGCATCACTTCGTACCTGCCAGGAAGTTCTCATGGGTGGCCCAACCCCATCCAGAGGCAGGCTGCGCCAGAACCACGGGAAAGTAGAGCACCGACCTCCACTTGGGAGCTGGCTCCCCTGAACCCCAGGTGCCTCCAAGGTTGCTAGGGGAGCCTCCCACTTTCTCAACACCCTAAACATCCGGAGGCCCCAGGAGTCTGGGAGCAGAGGTGAAGGAAAGGGACATTTTGCTTTGGATCCTCTTCCCTGATTATGGGGGACAGTTGGAGCCCCAGGCATCATACTGAGTCACCTGTCCCTGGATCCTGGGGGCACCCCTACTGTCAGCATTCCTGTCCCAAAATGGTGGGGTCCTCACCAGCGATCAGACAAGGTCAGCTGTAGCTGCGGCTTGGGCAGCTTAAGCTGCTGCTCCCGGACGGCGTAGGCCAGCACCTGTCGGTCTGAATGTTGAGGGTAGGGCTGTGTGCCCAGCTCAAACAGCTCCCAGATGGTCACACCCAGGGACCTGCAAGAGTGATCGCCATGAGACAGGCCTGGACAGGACCACACAGGATACCATCGTGCCAGCCACTCTGGGCCCAGAGCTCAGTACACACCAGCTCTCCCTCCCCAAGCACAGATACACAGTTGTCAACACACAGGTTCCTGGCAAAGTAAAGCCAGGCTGGCCTTGCACAGTCACAGCTGTTGGTCTGTCCACTCACTCATTCACCGTCACACTGAAGATGCTATGCCAGGTGTGGGGGCTGCCAGTGAAGCTGAAAAGAAGCCCAGACAGGTTTGGTCCAAGAGACTGAAGCAGGAGCAGGACTAGACACCCTAGGCAGGGGAGGTAAGGCTGGGGTGACAGACCTACAGTATGCAGGGCTGGGAGAAAGCAGTGGGGGTCCCTTCCAGTGAATGGTGGCTTTTCCTGGCTCCTCTGACCCTGGGAGGTAGGACAAAGCTGATTTGGCAATGGAGAAGTCATTGTGACCCTGGTGGCCAGAGTCCTGTGATGGGGACCCTAGCTGGGGTTCTGAGGGTGAGCGTGCCAAGAAGGGGCTCCTCAGTGGAGTTCACAAGCAGGATGGGGGAGTGTCTGTGACAAGGCATTGTTAAAGGGCTTAAAGGAGGGCCATATGTACAGGCTGTCGTGGTCACAAGGAGTGGGATGGAGCAGGGAGAAGCAGAGGCTGCTCCTGTCCAACCCCATGGCAAGGAGACACAGCCAACACGTGTGCAAGCCCCCAGGGCAGCTCAGCCCCACCCCTCTGAAGGCTGCAGAGCCCAGGCAGAAAGAGCAGTTGCTCTATGCCCAGCTTGATGCAGGGGGTCAGGATGAAGGCTTCCAGGCTGCAATTCTGGGAGATCCTAGCATCTCCCTCCCTGTTTGCTCCTCTATCCAACATGACCTAAGTTCCCTCAAGGGTAGCTGAGAGCCCCTAGACCTCTCCACAGGCACAGATGTGAGTCAAGGCCCCATGTCCATAAAGATATACAAGCCCCTGCTGCTGCTCAAGGTGGACTTTGGAACCTAAATATGTGCTTTAGCCCTGATATTGCTGGTGTCAGCCCAGTAGGTCCGGGGAGACCTAACACCCTGACTGTCCAGGCAGTCCCTCCACCAGCTCAGGGTTGCAGTCCACAACCTTATGAGACCCACAACTCTATGAGGCCACAGTGTGGCAGAGATAAGCACAGTAGGACACACTTGGACTTTCTCTGAGTGGAAAGAGCAGGGTAGCAGCCTGGCAACCCCTTGGACCTGCAAGCTAGAGGCTCACATGTCCATTGTGAGGTCTGGCCCATTCTTGCACCACCCTCTGTTGCAGACCCATGCTCACCACACATTGCTGTTCTTGGTCTGGTCCACCACCAGCAGGTTCCCATGTACCTCATCCACCAGCTCAGGAGCAATCCAGCGTAGCGGCACCCACAGCTGGTCGGCCGTCACAAAGTAGTCTTCCTATGGGGAAATAGGGCAGAGTTGGACCCCATGTGCAGCAGCCCCACCCCAAGGCCTGAACCCCCTGACTTACCCTGTATTTGCAGTGGGACAGGCCATAGTCACCGACCTTCACTGTCAGGTCGGCCGTCAGCAGGCAGTTCCGCAGGGCCAGGTCACTGCAGGGCAGGAGACAGGGTCAGCTGGGGCTTTGGCCCAGGATAGAGTGGCTCATCCCCCAGGGGCATCCTGAGCTTAGGCCAGCAGGCAGACAGGAAGCAGTATCTGAGAGGCTGCCCTACACTGGGCACTTTGGAAGGTGTGTGTGGACAGGGCCTCAAACATGACAGTGCAGATGGGGAAAATGAGGCCCATGGGCCACCAGTGAAGATACTGCCCAGCTCCCACCCTTCTCCCAGGACACCGGTCTGCTGACCTACCCAGGGAGCTCTCAGGCCACGGACAGCCCTGCCCTGTGTGTCTGCAGTCTTCAGGACAATCTCCCCTCCTCCAAGCACCCCGAGAGACAGCAATCAATGGGGGAACTGAGGTCTGGAGTATACCAGGGGGTCCTGCCCACAGCCAGAGCCCATGGTCCGGGGCCTGGTCCTGCCCTGCCAGGTAGGAGTAGAACTGAGGACCCAGGAGAGGGGAGGCACAGAATGTCTGCAGGCAGGCCATGTAGGTTGCCTTAGAACTAACTCCAACCAGCAGCCAGCCCTGGTGCTGGTGGCCACATGGGAGATGGGGGCACGGGGCACCACAGGGTGTGCCACACCTGCTGTATAGCTTCTGCACTGAGGACTTAGTTTGGGAATGAAGTGCCCTAGCCTGTCTCTACTCCCTGAGAATGGTGTCTGTGTGCCAGGGGACAGCTATGAGCAAGTGCCCCAGGCCACAGACGGGTGCCTGAACCTGTGGCAACTGGGACAGGGGCACGGTGGGCAGGTCAGGAGGCTGGCAGCTGCCCTCTTCAACAAAATCACTGATGCTGGAGTTGCCTGTGTCACCACTCAGCACCAGGATATTGTTGGGGAGGACGGCCCATGCGGCATCCAGGGCTGGCGGGGGCCACTCGTCCATCACTACTTCTTCCGGCACGTCCCCCAGGCTCCCAAGGGGCTGGGCGTCCTGGCCCATCTTTCCGACTGTCAGAGGCAGGACAGAGCCATCCCTCCCCCTGCAGGACCAGCTGACCCTCCTTTTGCATCCTGAGAGAGACAGAGTGGGGCTGGTGTGGGGCCCTCACTTCAGGGTTTCAAACCCCCATCTTTCCAGTTTCTAAAATCTAGTGAAATTCCTTGTAGCACAGCTACTCCATGCTGTGGTGATTAACCTGGTTCATCCTCATGAGGCCCCAAGAAATGGCAGCACCATCCACCCTTTGTGCCAGTGAGGAGTCCACACCCATGGGTCATCAGACAGGACCCTGCCTGGGTGGCCCTGCCTGCCCCTCACCTGTGCACATAGTTGTTGCGGTGTAGGTGGAGGACACCGCAGGCCACCTCACAGGCCATTCGCTGCAAGGTCAGGGGGTCAGGTGCCATAGATTCCGTCACCCTGCAGCTCCGCAAGTAACCTTTGAGGTCCCCCTGCCGAGAGGGAGCACATGTCATCTCCTCGTTGGGGAGCAGCCACCAGCCTGCTGCCCTGCCCTAGGGGGCCCCCACCTTGCCTTGCCTTGCCCCCCACCCATGCTGCAGATAAATGGAGCCTAGATGCTGTCTAGCTAACAGGTATGGGCAGCAACCACCTACAGAGCTGGGGAGAGGCTGTGTGTCCCAAGGACGGGCCAGCCAGGTGACCCACAGTCAGGAGGCCCTTCCCAGAATGCCTTCACTAACTGGACTTGCCAGTCAGCCATTCAGGGTCTGTAGGGCCATAACCCCTTGAACAGACAAGAATACAAATCCAAGTGGATCTGCTTCTACCAAGCAACACCAGAAGGAACACAGGGATGGTGATCAGAGGATGGACTAGCAGCCACAACTGCTGACAACCCAGCCCCACAAGTCCAGACGCCAGACTTTGGGAGCCTTTGTCCTTCAGAGGACCCAGCTGTGCCCCAGGTACCCTCAGAATGTACCAGTGCTGGAGCTTCAGGAGCAGGATTCAAGTCTGCCCTGGGGAAGTGGCCAGACTCTGGCCATAATTAAAACTGAGGCCGTGGAGCTCCACTGGGATGCCCTGTGCTGAACCACCACCCAGGCTGCTCTGACAGCCAGGCAGTGACACGCTCATGCTACCCAAGCCCTCTGAGCCATCACTGGTGTTGCTGGCTCCCCACTCTGCACAGGCCTCCTCTGGAAGGTGGCAGGGCAGGCCCCCTAGGACGCCACTTTAGGGGAGTTGTGAGGCACCAGGGATGGCACTATTTATGGGCAAGGCATAGAGGACCCCAACTCAGCAGAGGCCCCACCTGGGCGGCAGCTCAGAGCCAAGGCCCTGGAGGGGCAGGGGCAGCCCTTCCTCCTCAGCAGCCACTCACCAGCGGGCAGAACTCCATCACCAGCAGGTAGGGCGTCACCTCGGCACACTGTGCTAAGCACTGGAGCAGACTGCTGTGCTGCAGGGCCCTGCAAGAGCCACAGATCGTCCTGACTTGCAAGGTGGGGAGGGTGGCACAGAGCCTGCCTCTGTTACAGGAGTCCTAGCCAATTGGCACGCGCCCCTCCAGCTGCCTGTCCCCAGGTGCCACCCACCTGTAGGGCTGTGCCTCCTCCAAGAACTGCATCTGCTCCTGCACACTGGCGCTCACCTTCAGTTCCTTCACCACCACCTGGGTGCTGCTGACACCCGAGTGCACCTCTCCCAGGAACACCTGCAGGGACAGGTGTCATCCAGGCCACACTCCAGCCCCATTCCTCTTCCCCCCATCCCCCAGTATAAGCTACTTCCTTCCTGTGCCTCGGTTTACCCCTTGCAGAATGGGTTCTGGACCCTTCTGGCTGGAATATCATGAGCATGTGCCTATCCCGGGGCTGTCCTGGCTCTCTCTGCATGTCCACAATGAGGAAGAGGTGTCCAGAGGAAGCCAGGACCAGTATGCTACTCCCTCCCACACACAAGGCTGTTGCCACACTCACCTTCCCGAACCAGCCATGCCCGATCTCCTTCAGGTACAGAAGGCTGTGCCGGCCCAGGTCTGTGGACTTGAGGAGCTGCACTGTAACAGGGCAGGGGGGCTCAGGACCCCACTCAGCCCCCTGCCACTCTCCAGCCTCCTCCCTAGCTCCTCAACTATACTGAGGAGCTCCCCTGAGATGCCCCAGCATTAGCCAGGGAGGGCAAGCCAGACCCTCAAGGCAGAGCCACTCTTGGGGGCCACCATCAGGGGCCACGCTGTCTCAGGAACAGGGATGACTGATGCCGAGGAACACCAGGGGTCTGCAAGTTGCACCCACGCATCTCCCTGGGTGGCCTGCGGAAGGGGGTGTTGGAGCCACAGACAAGCAAGCCTGGACACAGCAAGGCTCGGAGCTGGACCTGCAGCACAGGCAACACCCGGCAGGCAATGTGGCCGGGGCAGGAGGCTGGGGATGGCCCCAGAGCAGCCCGCCCCCAACCCCCATGGCATCCCAGCACCAGGCACACCAAAGGCTCCTTTGTTGGGGGCTGCTTGGCACAGCCCTGTACGGGACACACTGGGCCCATTCTCCCTGCAGGCCAGGCTGGGTGAGGTCAGCAGGCAGAAAGGGTCAGTGTAGGCTCAGGAGGAAGGGGCCACGGCTGGCTGCACCCACTCATGCCCCACTGGATTCCCTGGATTCTGTTCTCATACCAACTGCTCAGAGGGCAGAGGGGGTTGGAACTGAGCTTGGCTCCCAAGAGAGCCCAGGGATGAGGGGGCTTTGTTGGCTTGGTGCAGAATTTAGGGTGGGTGTCCCATTGGGCCTATGTCCTAGAGCTTCCCCTCTGCACCTCAGTCTGTCTTGACAGCCCCCTCTCCCACCATGGGGTCTCCAGGACCTCACTTACCCCAGGCAGTCTAGGGTCCCGTGCCAGCAGGCATCAGGACAGCCATGGAGGCAGGGATGCGTCTTAGCACTGTAAGCATGGCACAGAGGGTCTGGGGGTCTGGGGGCTTGGGCTGGCGGAGCTGTCCTCCTCTGCCATTTTATGACTCTGCTGCCCATGTTTCTAATCTTGGACCCCTCGCCTCATCCTAAATCTCTTTCTCCCTTAGAAGCAGAGTATCCCCTAGAAAACAGACCAGAGCTGCAACAATGGAAAAAATACACCTCTGTCTTCCCCCGGATCCCTGTGCCCCCTGTCCCTAGGGAGAAGCCTCCAGTGGCTGTGACCAGCTAGGTCTCAAGGATCATGGGGTTCCAGGCACATATTTGCCCTCACAGATAGGCCCAGGCTCAGTCCAGTGCCCCAAGGGTGGTCTGTGGCTCCCATCTGCTCCCAGCAGTGCAGGGCTGCTAGGGCTGTAGCACACACACCCAGGGCTCAGAGACCCCCACAGGCTGACCCCATGCAGCTGAGGATGCCTTTTCAGGAGGTGCTGGGGGAACTGCAAGCCTTTAGGCCAGTGGACAAACGTACTCCAAACCTGGAGTCCCAGGCTCACGTCTGACCAGTGACCTCTCCTCCAGGAGATTTGGGGCTGGAGGACATGCGTGGAGCACTGGGCCTGGATGGTGACTGGAGGTCATCTAGTTCTGCTCTGCAGGTCCAGCCAGTGCTTCAAGATGGGAAGCATCGGGGGCTGGGGATATAGCTCAGTGGCATAAGCACCTGCCTGGCAAGCGCAAGGTCCTGAATTCAATCCCCGGTACCCCCCCCCTCAAAAAAAAAGATGGGAAGCATGGCGGTCAGGGCCCAGCAGGGCAGGCCGAGTGGCCATGGTGACATGCCTGGTACCAAGAGAGCCCCCAC